AAGACATCGCCCTTGGCGAAGGTTAGTTTCATGTCGGTATGGAGAAGAGAGTGGTGGCTGGTCTACCGGTCCGGTTCATCTAACGGGAGGAGTTAGGGTGTGTAAATCCATCCGGAAGGGATGGGATGTCTTCTCTTCTCATATTTGATTCAAAGTTCGTGATGACAGATGTGTTCGTTTCTAGGAGGATCTTTGGTGTGGTGACCAGCCATTATCTCGTACTTTTCCCATATTATACAGTATTACAGTTGATAGACACGCCTACGTAGCTGACTGTTATCGGCTAGTAGTGGGATTACGTGGGATGTGCGCTTTAGGCGTTTCTTTCAGGATTGGGAGCTGGACGAGGTGTGTGTTCTTCTGGATTTGTTGTATCGGCAGGAGGCAGTTGGCAGAGGTAGCGACGACCTAGTATGGACTCCCTCTGTTTCGAAGTGCGATCTTTATTCTTATGTCTATCTAATTTTGTTAGCCTGGACTTTCCGTGGAAGATCATTTGGCGTTCTATGGCTCCAACTAGGGTGGCATTATTTGTTTGGACTGCTGTATGGGGTAAGATCCTGACGATTGATAATTTGAGGAAGCGGGGTAACTGTTTTATTAATTAGTGTTGTCATGCAACCAAGATGGTGAGTTAGTTGATCATATCCTCATGCATTGTCCTGTGGCGTACGATTGTTGGAATCTTATTCTTGGGTTGTTTGGTATGCGTTGGGTAATGCCACGTTCTTCTAAGGATTTGATTCAAGCTTGGAGAGGATGTCGTGTGAGTAGAGGTGCACGCGATTTTTATAGAATTGTTCCACATTGCGTTTGGTGGTGCATCTGGAAGGAGAGGAATACTAGAATGTTCGAAGGAAAGGAACGTCTACAACGATGCTAAAACTCCATATGTGAAGAGGAGTTCTTGTTCCTCTTCCGATGATTTAATTATTTTTCTGGATTCTTTGGGGCCTAAGTCCTTGGTTCCACTTTTGTATAAGGGATGCGTTCCCTTTTTGAACGCCTTTTTATTTCATTATTACTTATCAAGAAAAATAAAGGTAAACACCTCTTGAGGCTGCTGATAATTCCAGTGACGAGAAGTTATGAGAATCTGTGAAAAGCCCTAAACCAGGTGACTGGTTTGTTTAGAATTTGAATCTGAACGGCTACAATTACATATAATGCTCTCCGACTACCCTTCAACAGCTATTTTCAGCTTTCTCTCTATATATTTGAGGCTGGGGTATTTATGAATAAAGAAGAGATATATATTGAGCATTCAGTACACTCATCTACTTTCTTATATCATCATTCAATAGACTTGAGCTTCAGCTTGAGATTCATCTATAACTCTAGTCTTTTGAGCTTTGATTTGAGTATCAATCTTTGAGAAGATACAATCTTGTACTACATTCTTCCTCTCTATTTATTGTAAGGGTTGGTTTGACCTAAAGGAAGCCTAAGAGAAGGTCTTCTCTTAGCAAGAAGGAAGGAGAAGCTTGTTAGCTTCATTGTAAAGGTTTTCTCTTCACCCAAAAGGAGAAGCCATAGTGGATTTGGGAAACTCTCAAGAGGGATCTTGAGTCGAGGAGTAGGAGTTCTGAACCTTGCTAAATCGCCGAGTCATTTGTGTTGATTCTTTCTCCCCTTATCTCATTTATATAGTGCTTGCTTGATTATTTTCATATCTTCTTTATTGCACAATTTATATTGATATCTTTTATTGTCTTGGATAAACTTTTAATTGGGAATATTTTCCATTGTTTGCCAAAGACTCTGTTCACCCCCTCCTCCCCTCTAGAGTCAATACTTGGGTAACGTTCTCGATGAATTAATTACCCACTTTTGAGATCTTGATGGAACCATCAACTGATGCTTTGGGTCATGATGGTGGAACCTTGTAAGCATTCAATTATCAGCAGCATTTCCTCTTTAGCAATTAGTTCCCTCATTTGTGCCAGTTTGCTGATTAAGAATGTCAATTGTGGTGTCTTAATCAGCTGGTTGCCATTCACCATAAAAAATTTGTTTGTCCCACACCCAATGAACCCCAAAGCACAGTTTCCTTCGTGGTAATTGTATTATGCAATTCGAAAAATTCTTCAGTTTTACATTCAATTCTGAATTCAAGGAGTACCATGTAAGCAGATTGACTATTTTAGTATTTTGCTTGTTGAACCTAAGTTGATAATGTATTTGGAAACTTCATATCTATTGCAAGTCCCTGACAATGAGGACAGAATATAATGGTTGGCTTTGGTCCATTTTGGTGGTTCTTGCATCAGTTTCTTGGTTTTGTTAGCTTTGGGTTGACTAATACTTCTGCCATTCGAGCAGTAATTTTGAAAACATTAGTGTCAATTAACATCTCATTAGAAAATTGTGATGATCCATGTAGTCATTTAGCATATGGGTTGATTGAGATTAGGGCCTTAAATGAAGTGGAATGTCTAAATGTGATTTATGTAGCGGACCCCATATTGTTGGGAAATGGTTTTGGCAAGTTGAGTTGAGAGTATGTGTAGTCATTGCGACATATACTATGTATTTTTTTATTTTTTATTTTTATTTTTTTTCCTGTATATACTAATTATGGCATATACTATGCATGCTCACTTCGTGGTAAAAAAACCCCTCACCTGAGTGATGAATTCAAGTTTCTATTAGCATCTGATCTGTTGTATGTGGTTACAACTAGACAATACATAGAATCACTGTCTTATGTGCTACATGTGCTCGTTATTATGCACTTACCAGTACACACTGTTTATTCCTTAGATTAGCAATTTTCCGCCGTATGTTCTCATTAGTCAGAAAGTAAAATGTACATCTGTTTGGTTGAATATTTTTTCTTTATGCTAGCTACTTATCTTGTATGCATAAATCACAGGGCAAATCATCGTTAATCTGGATATCTAGTAGTGGTGAAAGAAGTTTGAAGTTAGCTTCAGTTTCAAGAATTATTCCTGGACAACGAACTGTGAGATTTCTGTACTCTTATTTGATGTCATTGTTGTGCATTAGCATAGATCATAAATTATTATAGCACTTGCATCTTCTGAAGTGAAAAAATACGATTACCCAGTATCCGTCCCATCAATGTGGGGTGTTGCGAGGAGTGGATTGGATAAAGACCTGACATCATTTTGTGCACAAAATGTTTCCTTTTAGAATCGAACATGTATCTTTTTGTAGCTTGAGCTTTACCACTGCACCAAGCAGTAGTCCCTTACATTTTTAATTTTGATTTTTTAATTATTATTATTATTATTTTTTGTGAAATGCTTCTTCCAGCTAAAGCTCATTATTATTTCTTTCTTCTTCATATGCTACCAGGCTGTTTTCCAACGGTATCTGTGTCCTGAAAAGGACTGCTTGTCCTTTTCTCTTATATATAACAGCGGGAAGCGATCCCTTGATCTGGTTGGTGATGAATATTTAATTTCTGTCTACATGATCAGTGCCATTTTTTTCTCCCTTTTTTTTTTTTTTCAACATGAATTATAAATGTAAATTTGGCATGTTTCTTTTTAGATCTGCAAGGACAAAGTCGAGGCAGAGGTGTGGATTGCAGGCCTCAAAGCATTAATATCCTCTGGGCAAGGTGGGCGCTCAAAAGTTGATGGATGGAATGATGGAGGCCTCTATTTTGATGTAACTCTACCTACCTAGAAACATTTTTGTTTTCTTCTTCTTTTTATTATTTATTTATACTCTACCTTGCAACTGCTGAAGCTAAATTTAGATTACCCAGCATATTTATTTATGGAATATATACACACACAATATATTATTATATTATGTAAAATTAGCTCGGCGGAGACTGATTTACCTCTCTTATAAGAGAATTGTGGCTTTCTAAGAGTTCACTGTTCATTAGCTGTTAATGTGAAGTCATTAATGAGAAATTTTTTATTTATCTTTTGATGTTCATAACAAAGAAGTGGTATATTCTGTTTATCACTAGATGCGTTATGACTTCATTGTTTCCACTCAAACTAGATATTTGAGTTTCATTGTTTCCATTTAAACTAGATATTTCCAGTTTGAAAATTTGGGGTATTTTTCCTAACTATTTGGCAATCCGTTGTAGTCCTTTGCTACTTGACCATGCCATCTTGTGTTTTAGTGTACCTCATTGATTTATCGTGCATGTTTATGATGCACTGTGATTTTGATTATTTAATTAGTAGTCCATGTTTATATTGGCATAATGCCCTCAATATTTATATTTGATAAGTAAAGATGTATTAGAAAGTGTTCAAAAGGGGAACGCATCCCAGAGAATACACCAAGGCGGAAGCCAAAACAAAAGATCCTATGGGCCCAAGGAACCCAAAAAATTGACATACGTCTCTCAAGTTTTACAATTTCTCCCCATCACCCAACTAACAAGAGCGCTAAAAAATTAAGAAATTTCAAAGCCCCTATGGAAGATTCCTCCCCTATGCCCTCATTATATGAATAAAAAGATATTTAAGATCATGCATATAGAAATGATTGGCAATGTAAGTGGCAACCTAGTTGATCTTAGGTATTCTTAGTGCAATTGCACTGCGTATGAAGTAATGGAGAAATCTACAGAAATATGAGTCTCTTTATCTGTTTGAGTGCGTACATGTCTCTCTCTCAATGTGTGACTGCGTATATGTTTATGTATGCATATGTATGTGTGTGTATGTTGATAATAATATTATTCAGACTTCTATCTTAACCATAGTTTTTATAAATTATCAACGGATGATATGGTAACTAAGCATCCTTTAAAGATTAATTCATCTATAACGATTGTGACTGGCATTTTAAAGGTAACTTCCAATCTGTTTTAGGTATTCCATATGTAGTGTACAATTGAAACAAAAAAGAAGATTCCTTTTAGGGAAAGTCATACTTTTTGGCTATTTAATTAATTTGCTAAAGGTGCACGATGCATTCACCACAAATGTTATTCCTGTTACACCAGCAGCGTATCATGCCTGACATGCAAGTTAATGATCAACTGATTTCAGGATAACTGAGATTTGACATCAAATAGTCCAAGTGACAGTTCCATTAGTACTACAAGAGAAATTAGCTCTCCGGAAGTTTCTTTAAAGTCCAAAACAAATACTTCTCCCAAGATTTATCGGCCTGAAAATTCTTTTCATTCTGAAAGGTCACATGTAGCTTTGGAGCACACTAATATGCAGGTAAAAGGATCTGGTTCAGATGCTTTTCGTGTTAGTGTTTCTAGTGCCCTCAGTACGTCCAGTCATGGTTCTGCACCAGATGATTGTGATGCTTTAGGAGATGTATACATATGGGGTGAGGTTATATGTGATAATCCAGTCAAGGTTGGGACTGATAGAAATGTTAATTCTTTGATTGCAAGAGCTGACGTGCTTCTTCCCCGGCCATTAGAGTCCAATGTGGTTTTGGATGTACATCACATAGCCTGTGGGGTCAGGCATGCTGCTCTTGTCACCAGGCAAGGTGAGGTTTTCACATGGGGCGAAGAATCTGGAGGACGGCTTGGCCATGGTGTTGGAAAAGATGTCACTCTGCCTCGTCTAGTTGAATCTTTAACAGTTTGCAGTGTTGATTTTGTTGCATGTGGTGAGTTTCACACTTGTGCTGTTACTATGGCTGGTGAACTTTACACATGGGGTGATGGCACACACAATGCTGGGCTTCTTGGTCATGGTACTGATGTCAGCCATTGGATACCCAAGAGAATGTCAGGTCCTCTTGAGGGACTTCAAGTTGCTTTGGTAACTTGTGGTCCATGGCATACTGCCTTAATAACATCGACAGGTCAACTCTTTACATTTGGGGATGGAACTTTCGGTGTTTTGGGCCATGGGGACAGGGCAAGTGTTTCATATCCACGAGAGGTGGAATCTCTGTTGGGGCTGAGGACAATTGCTGTTGCATGTGGGGTGTGGCATACTGCTGCCGTGGTGGAGGTTATTGTTACACAATATAGTGCAAGCGTTTCTTCCGGAAAATTGTTTACTTGGGGTGATGGAGATAAAAATCGTCTTGGACATGGAGACAAGGAACCTCGTCTCAAGCCTACTTGTGTGTCGGCACTTATTGATTACAATTTTGATAAAATTGCTTGTGGGCACAGTTTAACTGTGGGCTTGACCTCATCTGGACACGTTTTTACGATGGGGAGTACTGTCTATGGTCAGCTTGGCAATCCCCAGTCTGATGGAAAGCTACCTTGCTTGGTAGAAGATACGCTTGTTGGGGAATCTGTTGAAGAGATTGCCTGTGGTGCTTATCATGTTGCAGTATTAACATCCAGGAATGAGGTCTATACATGGGGAAAGGGGGCTAATGGAAGGTTGGGCCATGGGGATATTGAGGATCGGAAATCACCAACTTTAGTTGAAGCTCTGAAGGACAGACACGTTAAATGTATTACTTGTGGTTCAAACCACACAGCAGCTATATGTCTTCACAAATGGGTTTCTGGTGCTGAGCAATCACAGTGCTCAGCTTGCAGACAGGCTTTTGGGTTTACCAGGAAGAGGCACAACTGCTATAATTGTGGACTTGTGCACTGCCATTCATGTAGTTCCAGAAAAGCATTTAGAGCAGCACTTGCTCCTAATCCCTGGAAACAATATCGTGTGTGTGACTCCTGTTTTACCAAACTGAACAAGGTGGCTGAAGCTGGTGTTAATAACAGGACGAGTACTGCACCACGCCTTTCAGGCGAAAACAAGGACAGGTTAGACAAGGCTGAGATAAGATTGTTCAAGTCAGCAATGCCTTCTAACATTGATTTAATCAAACAGTTGGATAATAAAGCTGCCAAACAAGGAAAGAAAGCTGATACATTCTTTTTAGGTTGTTCCACTCAAGCACCTTCTTTGTTACAGCTGAAGGATGTTCTTTTGTCTACCGCTGTTGATCTGCATCAAACAGTTCCCAAACCTGTTCTTACACCTACTGGTGTTAGTTACAGGTCTGTATCACCTTTCTTCAGAAAGTCCAGCCCCCCGCGCTCTGCTACACCTGTTCCTACAACATCTGGACTTTCTTTCTCAAAAAGTATCGCTGATAGTTTGAGGAAAACAAATGAACTTTTGAATCAAGAAGTTAGCAAGTTACGTGCACAGGTATAGAACTTCCAAATCAAGTACTCTCTCTCTCTCTCTCTCTCTCTCTCTCATAGTTGTTAAAGGCGCCTCCAGGCGCCACCTTGGCGCCTTGATTGACTTAAGGCGAGTGGTTTGGGATAGGTGCGCGCCTCTTAGACAAAGGCGCAAGGCTACAGGCGAGATGCAGGTGCGCCTGTGTGAAAAATGGGTTTTTTTTTTTTTTTAATTATCTTGTTTGTGTTACTTGTATCTGTTTATTATTTGTTTATTTGTTGTTTTTATTTGTTTATTACAAAATCTACACAACTTGCAAGTTAAAAAGCATAAAAAAAAAGAAAAAGAAAAGAAAAGAAAGGAATAAAAGAGCAAAAGGAAAGTGGAAAGAAGAGAGTCAAGACTGAAGAGACAGAGAAGAGAGAAGTACGAGTGGTCTGCGAAGCGCCGAAGACTGGATCTGCCAGATCTGCGTCTGCGCCGAAGCCTGGTAAGTTCTCCTTCCCTCTCTTCTTCTTCTTCTTCTTCTTCTTCTCCTCTCTTTCTTGCTTCTTCTTCCCTTCTCAGTTCTTGGCATTTTTTTTTTTTTTTTTTTCTCTTTTCTTCTTCTTCTTTTCTTCAGTTTTTCTTCTTCTCTCGGCTCTAGTGACTCTAGTCACTCTCTTGCTCTTCTTTTTATTTTTTTATTTTTTATTTTATTCTGCTTTGAGCCGAGTCTAGGCTCTTCTTTTTTTCTTTATTTTTTCTCTATTCTTCCTTGAGCCGAGTCTAGGCTCTTCTTTTTATTTTTTTATTTTTTTTTTTCTTTGAGCCGAGTCTAGGCTCTTCGTTTTTATTTATTTATTTAATTTTTTTTCTCTATTCTTCTCTCTTGGCTCTTTCTAGTCTCTTCTCCTCTTTTATTTTTTATTTTTCCTCTATTCTTCTTCTCTCGGCTCTCTCTAATTTAACTTTCCTATTTCTAATTTTGTGGATTTAATAGGATATATTCCCAATGATATATGAGTGTAACTGATATTTTTAATTTGTTGATTTAATGGATTCTAGTAATCTAGTTCGTTGATTCAACTTAATTGTGTTGCAATTTATTTTGCCTCATCTTTCTAATATGCCGATAATTAGTGAATAATGATAATTAGTGAGATAATGATGTGTTGGCAGTTGGCTTACTCACCTAAATTTGTCCAAAAAAAAAAATCCGAATCTCTTTACTTCATACTTTATATAGAACAATCAATGCGTTTCTGCTTTGTGCATGAAATTTCTTTAGTTGAACACACTTGGATCATCACATCACCCATTCCTTGTAATCCCAATTGCACAGTCTCTCACACACACAACTGCAGGTCTTCATTGCATCATTAAATTAACCTTGTCACCAATATAAGATCAAGGTTGAAGGTGCATCAGTCTACACTTACCAAATTCGGTTTTTTCTGGTCTGTGCAAATACAAAACCACAGGAAAATCAGAGTTACAAACTTACAAGAATATATATGGACAGGGGTAATGAAATTAACTAATATATATACATATTATTTTAATATTGGTTCGTAGACTTACATCTAGCAAACATGGATATCAAGGTTTTGGTATCTTTATGTTGAATATTTAATTTAAGTAATTTATTTAGTTGACTTTTGCATCTTTATATATACTATTGCATCTCTATAATACTTTATTGGGTGGGTTTTGTTTTTTTTTTTTCAACGTGCGCCTTGGTTCAGTCGGGCGCGCGCCTCGCCTTGCGTCTCAGGCTCAGGCTCCAGGAGGCATTTGCGCTTTTGTGCGCCTTGAGCCTTCAACTATGCTCTCTCTCTCACTCACACACACACACACACACACACACACACACAAACACACAAACATAAGCACTATTTCCTGGGAGACGGGTATGAATCTTAATCATTTCAAAATAAACTCCTTATCTTGATGATCATGGATCTGATTTAGGTCCAGAGTCTGAGACACCAATGTGAACTTCAAGAATTAGAGCTTCAGAGATCAACAAAGAAAGCTCAGGAGGCTGTGGCACTGGCTGCAGAAGAATCTGCCAAGTCTAAAGCTGCAAAAGAAGTGATAAAGTCGCTTACAGCACAGGTTAGTTTTCTGGTTGTGTATTCTCTTTCCATTGTTTACGAGGAAACTTGATTTCCTTGAAAATGCTGGACTTGTTATTCGTGCACAGTGTTTGGTAGAAGTTACACATCACCACGTATATATCTATCTATCTTCACTATATGCAATTTACTTGTGACTGATATTTGTTTTTCTGGGTAATCCCGTACTTTTAGCTGTCTTGTCGTAAATCATAATCCTTTCTACTCCCAAGATGAAGAGTTCAGCATTGACATTAGGGTCCACCGGAATAGGACATTTTAGCAGTTATAGAAATATGTTAAAAGCATGCAGTCTGTTATTGGACCATGTTCTGATCTTGTCTTTCTTAAATCATGGATTTGGTAACAACTCACAGGGTATCTGTACAAAGCTGCCTTCATTTATAGTTTATGCCGCTAATTTACATGTCTGTCACTCCAAGCAGAATGCTTTCTGGTTGCAATTTCTTGTTTAACCGTAGCCTGCTCAGATGTTCTATTAATTGTTACTTTACTGCTGTCCCAGCTCAAAGATATTGCTGAGAGGCTGCCAACTGTGGTCTATGACGCTGACTACATCAGGGCAGCTCATGTAACAAATGGCATTCACTACCACAATGCAAACGGAGAGCACCATTCTGTTTCTAATGGGATTGACTCGGCTACAGTTAATGGAACAGATGGCCCCACTGAATTGCTTAGGTATCCTCCTGGACACAATGAAACTAGTCCATACCATCAAAACCAGGGGGTTCTGAGCTCCATTGGAGGGGATGGCCATCAAGATGTTAGACTTCCAAATTGTAGCCGAGAAATTCAAGCAGGCACAGGTAATGTGTCACAGACTGTTGACAGCATGGAATCTGGGCCTTTCCAAGATGGTGACAATGGTGCAAAATCTAGGAACCTGGCATTGACTGGTAATGATAATCAAGTTGATGCTGAGTGGATTGAACAGTATGAGCCTGGTGTGTATATAACACTTTTGGCTCTCCGGAATGGAACTAGAGATCTCAAACGAGTGCGCTTCAGGTACAAGATGGATTTCTTTTATGATTCTTTTATTCATATTATATATGTAATATATATATATATATATATATATATATATATATATAAACATGCCATATTTAATGTTCATATGGATTGCAAGTTGAAGAAAGGAAGTCATCAATCACTCCTTTCTGTATTAAGCTAGATGATTTCTGACCATGGTATTTTTCTGTATTAATATGGGAATTAAAAAAAATGAGAGTTTTCATGGTAAATGACTCGGATCATAATGTAATTATGATGATTTTTGTTAGTTGATTCTTAAGTCTTGATTCTTGAGTAATTGTTGGACGTGGTCCTGCACTCATCGACTGCCACATGCATATGATGCTTAACCTTGGATCTCAGTTTTTATATTAAACTCCCAATACAGTAATTTCATTTTATAATTGTTTCTGATGTTTTATCTGCTCGTGCAGCCGGAGAAGGTTTGGGGAGCACCAAGCGGAGACTTGGTGGTCAGAGAACCGTGAAAAGGTTTATGAGAGGTACAATGTTCGTGGGTCAGACAAGTCGTCCGTTTCTGGCCAAGCTGCCCGCGGATCAGAGGGAGACCTCTCTAAGTCTTCCCAATCATAGTAACAATGAATGAAGTTCTCCGTGAAAACTTTTTGTACCATGTCACTTTGATGGTTTTCTAGGCTATAAGCAAAAAACCACATATAGAAGTAAACATCTTTCTTTTCTCTCTCTTTTTATTTTATTTTTTATTTTTATTTTTTATTTTTTTATTTTTTACTTCCCCTTTCCCGTTTTCATAATTTGTTATCTCATTCAATTTAATTATCTGGGTATATGCCCTTTACCTATCCATTTCATTGTAGTGTACATAGTATCTTCAACTATGATAATATATCTCAAGAAAAGTTTTTGATCCTTGGTCTATTTTCCTTCTTCTGCAACCCCTCACTGATAGCTTTTTCTATTTGATTTATTCATAGTATTATAATTTATACACCTCCCTGCAGACATCTGTACCTCTTATCCTCAGCCGGAGTATGGAAATTCGCTGCTTACAGTCAGAATTTTAATTTCATCTTTGGTTGGCTTTCAACAGCCACAAAAGACCACCTCCACCAAACCAATGCCGTAAATCCTAAAGAAGAGAGGCAGGCATCATGGGGCCAATTTCCTATGGCCTTATGGGAAAAAGGCGCGGAGTTATGAGGTTTTTTGTAAGTGAGAATACAAAAAATGTTTGGAGATGCTGTACGGGCACTTTTCCAGTTAGATGCCATCAAGAGGACAGTTGAGACTGGAGATCCCTGTCCTATGAGCAAAACCAGCAGGTATGAATTGACCTTATATCTGTTTCATGCCCATTAGCAGAAAGTAGGAATGCAGATAATCAAAAGTAGAAATGTAGACAATGGCTGATTGGTCTCTATGAATATTAGATAATATCAGAGAGGAATTTGATGCTGAGGTTTTAGTGTAGAATGTGTTGTATTCTGGTGTTTGTGGTTTTTTTTTTTTTTTTTTCTTGGGTAATATATTTTTTGGCCAGTGCCTTCAGCTATAATCTCAGATTGGCCTGCTCTTATTGCTCTACATCGAAGTCTTTATATATATGGAGCTTATTGTTTTTGAGGGTTAAAATGCTCTGCTAATTAAAGGTTTGGGCTCTCATGTTTGGCTCGTTCCTAGGGCGAACCAAGCCCGCGTTCTTGGCATATTACGATTATGCCTGTATTGCTGCAATATTTTTCATCAATTAAATGTGAGAAATGATCTGAAATTAGTTTGAGTTTGTTTAAGAGTCATGTTCGTTTGTTAATAACTTGGGGGCCATTATGAAGTGGAGCTCACACTTTTTTTTTGAGTATTCGGGTTTCGTTTGAATTGCTCTATGATATTCCATTTGAATCGTTTAACAAATTCTGAGATCGTTCTCGAGTTCGAGTTGAGGTCAATATTGATGAAGTGAGAAATTAGTTATGAAACTTTATAGAGCTTTACTAAACAAAGGCAGACTTAATTAGCAATGTTTTTGTTGACCCTATTTCACTCTTTTAGGTTACGTTTGGTTTAACAAATATTGAGTTCATTCTAAAGTTCGAGTAGAGATCAATATTTATGAAGAGAAAAATAGTTATAAACCTTGTAAACAGGACATTTTTATAAACTTTAATGAGCATGCTTATGAACAAATGTTCATAAACATTAAAATGGATCTTTTAATACAGAAGTTATGCAGTCATGCCATTTTCTTAGTGATGGAGAAGTAATTATCTATTTTTATTGTTGTATTAGGATGTGAATAAAATTAGGAGGTTGTGAGTTTTAATTAAATGTGGATATGGTGTGAGCCATGACAATTGATAGATCAATTGAGCTTGATATGGGTCCTAGGGTTGAAAATCTCTTAACTACAAATTACACTTAGGTGTTCACAAACTCTATCAACTTAGATGTTCACAAACTTCTATCTTTTTAAGAGATTTGACTTCTAATATAATCCTCTTGTTTGAATTGGTGGGGTCCAAAGTAATGTTACTTTTGACTTTTATATTGTCCGGGTAAATTGAAAAGATTGAAAAATATGGTGCATTATACTCGAAGGTTTCACTATTCTTTTTCTCTAAATAAAATTACAAAAGAATCCTTATACACAATGCTCTTCTCCTTACAATTCAGATAATTTTGTTCATGTCACTGTCGTAGTCCTCTGGTGATGGAAAATTTGCGGCATTGGACACGAAAAGTAAAGAAAGATGGATCAAAACCTTAATATTAAGGGCAACCACCGCATTAAAAAATGGAATGTGTACTGTAGGGAATTTTTTCTAATTTTATTTTATAAAAAAAATAGGAGTGGCAATATCATTGGACTGTCAATATCAACTTCCTATTTAAAATAGAACACCTATTATAGTACAATTAAAAATAAAAAAATACAAAATTATTATGAGATGAAGAGAATAATAAAATTAAAAGATACAAAATAAATAATATGTGGATAAAAGTATACATTTCCCTACATAATGTCAGGGATAATATCACGTAACATCGTGGTCCCTGCTCATGCATCACTCATTTGGTATCTCATAAGTCAGAGGATGTATCTCTTTTCATTAAACAATTCAATTATTTGTTTTTTATTCCATGATGATGATTGAAAACCTAATCATCAAACCTCATGTTTTGCATGTGTACTACATATATAGTCAATTAACAAATATGTAGCCTTCATGTTCACTATACAAATGTGGAAATGTAACATTTCTGTAAATATATTAACTGTTTCCTTTGCCAAAATAATATTATCTTAGTTTTAGAAGTAATTGTTTTTAGGTGGAACTTTGTGAATGAATGGGTGATCCCAATTTCCTTTACAAGTTCACCAAACTGTCTTGCTGTGATCTACAAAATTCTAATATCAGCAGAAACATTTCATGGACTCTCTGTTTCCACCAAACCCACCTGAATTTCCCTCTTCAAGAATCCAAATTTCAATTTTTAAAACTAACTTTGACCTTATGCTTATATAAGAGATTGAATTATTCTTTCCCCTTTCGTCTCCCTTTGTTGAATTTGTAGCAACATTTGAATTTGGTAGCATGATTTGAAATAAAGGGAGTTGGCCGGCGAGAAACTCATTAGAGTTCATTTCTTGTGCTCATTGAGTCGTTTAATCAAACAAATGTGATGACGCAGTGTCTGACAATTGAGGGTGTAAGGGGGACATTTATTTATTTATTTATTTTTGGTGTCCTGACAATGGGGCCAAAAGGCCCCAAAACAAAAGCAAACTAAACACCACAACTAACCCCCAACATCCTCCGGTGCAAGACGCTGAATTGAAGAAGGAATCTGCGATAAAAGGTGATCCACCTGGGGAGAAGGGGAAGATAGCTGAGCCAAAGCATGAGCAACCCTGTTGCCAGAATGACGAACATGAGACAAATACACGGACTGAAACAGCTGCAAGTCCCTCCGAATATCATAATAGATAGAAGCAATTTCAGATGGTGCCACAGCGTCATCATTCAGTACCCCTTCAACAACCACCTTAGCATCGGATTCAAACCAAATAGAAGAAAAACCCAACTTCGAAGCCCAAAACACTGCACGCTGAGAAACAAGAGACTCAACAACCAGAGCCGAAGAGGCAGGAAACTACGGGAAAACAACCGCCTGAATAACCATGCCGCAAAAATCACGAAAAACTGCCCCACCCCCTCCCAATGACATACTCCTAGAAAAGGAAGCATCGAAATTACACTTGACTTGACCAACTGGAGGTGCAATCCAAGAACCCACCAAATGAATGGATGAAACTGGATGAAAAGCAGAACAATGAGACCTGGCGTCCTGAAATTCCCAAAAACTTGCTACCGCACGCTCGACAACCAAGTCAGGCCCCCAGAGCACCCCTTCAAACATTAAATGATTCCTCGCCTTCTAAATACCCCAAGCACAGAAAGAAATCAAACTAAGAACCCCCGCAGAATCAGACGAATTTGCAACTGCCTGAACAAAAAATGACCAACCTTCCCAAAAAGAAGAAATATGAGAATTCGAAAAATCAAAACGGAAAGGTGCCAACTTCCAAACCTATAAAGAATGAGGGCATAGGAATAACAGATGCACCACAGTCTCCTCCGTACTACCACAACGAGGACACACCACAACCCCTCGCCCTCAAGGATACCGTTGTGGGCAGCGCTTGATGACAACATCGCCAAAGGAAATGTTGCACCTTAGATAAAGTAAGACAATGCCATATAGAAGTCTACGAACCATTAGACACCTAAACACCTAAATAATTAGTCATCGATAGAGCAAGCTGATAAGCTGAATGAACAGAAAACAAACCAAACTTGTCAAGTCCCTAGATTGGAACATCCGGTTTATCCCAACGACTAAAATGCAATTTCAGAATTTCTCGAACCACAAGAGGAGAAAACAAAATATGCAAGACATCCTCTTTCCAAGCACGGGTAGTAGAATCAATTAAATCAGCGACCCCAAAAAATAGAACACCATGAGTAAGGGGTACATACTTAGATGACATAATTTTTGATATATTTGTACTGAATGAATGACTGTACTCACTATTCAATTTGAGGGGGTATGGCAAGACTCTCATCACAAATTTCTTGAGCTCCAGAGTTTGAATTCTCTAGATAATTTTTTTGATAATTGTTTTGTGCTTACATACAAGCACAGACCTAGTGAATGCCCAGTGGGGTAATACCTAGTGAATGACTAGTGAGGTAATTCCGAAACCACCCCCCCTCCCTTCTTTCATTTTTCATGTTTATAAAGGTTGGGAATTGACCATAATGATCTTCTATAAGACCTAAAAGTTGTCCCTAACCCCCTTGCACGAAAATTAGGTTTTTTAGGCCATTTTCCATCATTATAGTCAGGTGGAACCAGTTCAGCTTTCTTGGAACCGGTTCAAGGGTAATTTAGGTTCCAATGTGGGCACTCTGCCATGTTGAACCGGTTTTGGATCCTGAACCGGTTCAGGTTCCCCAGAACTTTTTCGTGTTTCAAAATTTTAACTTTGACCTTCCAACTTTAAACAGTCATATCTCGTTCGTTTTAACTCCGAATTGGTCCATTCTTGAGTCTAAACTGACCCCGTCAGAATAAGCTTTCCAATGGTACCAATTACAATTTCATATTCTACTCCTACCTTGAGATATCCTCATTTTAGTGAGAGAGTATCGAAATTTAGTTCGACCTGGGATAGGGTTCTGTGGGGTTTCTTTTCTAATGACCTTAGAACTTCATATGAGATTACCAAAGGATAATATTGGATATTTTTTAATCTCATTTGACTTGTTGGAAGTCAAATTTACTCCTCTTAGGGTAAAATGACCATTTTACCCATGTTCTTGTCTTTGGTTCGTATTAACCTTATCTTCTGCATT